AAGATAAATGAAAACTTATGTCCCTGGAAAGACTTCTGCCATGTCACCATGGCAGTTATATATTTTTTGTTTTGTTTTTTACTTTTACAAAAACTTTATTGAGAATTTCATATATGTATATAAGGTATTTTGATCAAATCCATGCCCACTCACTCCCCTTCAACTCCTCCCATATCTCCCCATCACATTTTTCTGACAAATTTATGTACATTTTTATTCACCACAATAAAGTACCTGTAATAATTCACAAGTACGTTGAACATTAGTCCCAAACTTGAAAAATGATTCCAACTGAAAGAAAAATAAAATATTGGTACAGCCACTCTTAAAGGCTGTGTCATACAACTTAAGGAGCACAATTTATATATAAAATTATTTATATAATTTCATCTAATTTTCAAAAGTACTCTCAAAATTTAACTCCATTTTAAGCAGAGAAGCCAAAATTTGAACAAATGGGGGCTGGAGAGGTGGCCCAGTGGTTAAGAACTCTGATTGCTCTTGCAGAACACCCAGGTTCCATTCCCAGCACCTACATGGCGACAAACAACCGTCTGAAACTCCAATTCCAGTCGATCTGATACCCTCTTCTGACCTCCACAAGCACTGCACAATATGGGTGAACCTACTTACATGCAGGCAATACACTCATAAACATAAAAAATTAGAATAATAAGTAAAATATTTTTGAAAACAAAATTTTAGCAAACGAACTCATCCAGTCTTATAAATGCATAAATGTTATTCTAGTATTTGTATTCAGTATCTTGCTGACAACAAAGCAGTTTCTGTAATACTAAATTGACCTTATAATGCCCAAAGCAGTGTTTTATAATGTGTTTTTGTATAATTTTCCTACTACTTTATTTCTCTTTTCTGCATTTAAATTATAACTGGATAGTTAATAAACTGAACCTATTGGATTCCAAGTAGACATTTGCCATGACATTTGCACTGTTTATTAAATTACAAAATGTGGAAAAATTATAGAGTTGTGCCAGGAGTGGTGGTGCCCACCCTTAATCCCAGCACTTGGGAGGCAGAGGCAGGTGGATTTCTGTGAGTTCAAGGCCAGCCTGGTCTACATAGTGAGTTCCAGGCTAGCTGGGGCTACAGGGAGAAAAGACCTGTATCAAAAAGACCAATAAATAAATAAATAAATAAATTATAGAGTTGAAAAATATAATAAGTAAATTTTAAAACTGAAGAGTTTGAGCAGCAGTTTATACATAACTAAGAGACCAATTGTGAACTGGAGGCTGGGTCAGGAATATATGTAAAATGAAGCCTAAAGAAAGTAAAGACTATTAAGAAGCAGAGGATGGAGTGAGAAGATCCACCATTCATCTAACTGAGGCTCAAAGATGGGAGAAGATAGAAAATGGAGCAGAGGACTTTGAAAAGATGAGTTCAAAGAATTTCAGAGAACTGGTGAAAGGCGCCAATTTTTGTTATTCACTAAGCCCAAAGAGGTCAAATGAAATGAAATTGGACAAAAAAGAAATACGTGCTTAGATATACTATAGAGAAGCTGCAGAAAATAAAGTCAAAAGAGAAAGTGTTGAACATAGCCAACGGGACGAGAGCGAGAAATGAGCAAAACAGCAGCATCTGAGCAACAGCTGATGTGGTGGTTTGAATGAAAATGTCCCCCGTAGGCTCCAAGTGTTTGGACATTTTGTCCCCAGATGATGGCACTATTTTGGGAGGTTTTAGAAGGCGTGGCTATCCTACAGGAAGCATGTCATTGGGGGTGGGCTTAGAGACTTGCCAGATCTCCAGGTACTCTCTTGCTTCCTGTGTCTGGGTGATGATGTGAGAGCTTAGCTTCTGCTGCTCCTGCTCCAGCCACCTCCAGCCACCATGCCTCCCTCCTCCAGCCATCCAGCCACCTCCAGCCACCTCCAGCCACCATGCCTCTCTTCCATGACGGACTGTAATTCCCGTGGAACCGTAAGCTCAAATAAACTCTTCCTTCTATAAATTGCTTGGGTCAGTGTTTCTATCACAGCAACAGAAAAGTGACTCATACAGCTGATGTCCCAACAGCAAAGGTGAAAACCTATCTTCAGTGCAGAGACCCCTGTAGGGTACTGAAGAGTACGCACACAGCATAAAACAACAGTGACAGGGCTGGAGAGATGGCTCAGCAGTTAAGAGCACTGACTGCTCTTGCAGAGGACCCAGGTTTGATTCCCAGCACCCACATGGAGGCTCTGAACCATCCTTAACTCCAGTTCCAGGGAAATCCGAAGCACTCTCTGACTTCTGCGGCATTGCATGACATGGGTGCACTCACATACATGCGGGCAATACACTCATACACATAAAATGAAAATAATAAATAAAATATTTTAAAAAATAAAAATAAAACAAGTTACAAGCTGGCAAGATCCTTTCAATGTGTTATAGAAAAAATGTAAATAGCCCAAAACTATTATAAGTTCCTAAAAATAAAGAAGGAAAAAAAACCCAAAAAACTAACAATCTTAGACAAATGAACAATAACCATGAACAGTTCACAGGGAAAAGAACTACACAAGATTTGAAAAGACAAAGACACTCGGCTTCATTTGTAATAAAATGAACGCAAAAATTAAAACTGCAGAGAGGTACTGTCTCAGTCCTATGAGACTGCGGGGGAAAGTGACCAAAATTTGACAGCACACTGTGTTGGTGAGACCTTGGAGGTACGGCCCTGCTCAGGTATTGCTCTTAGGGGAGAAAATGGTGCAACTCCTATGGAGTAAAACATAGTGGAAAATGCTAAAGTGGTATCTGCATTTCAAATCAATACTTTTTCTCTCTGCTCTCTATCCCAACAATAAACTGACCAAAAGTACAAAAAGATCATTTCTTTATAAACTAGTATAATGTAACATCTAGTATGTACTTAAGTAAGAAAACTGAGATGGAAAATATGTAAAGTACACTATTAGTTATTGGAAATCCACATATATGTGTATGTATGTATGTACACATATATGGTTGCATATATACATATAAATAATTGATAGTATTTAAAAACAAATTATAAAAAATTAAAATGAAGCGGGGCGTGGTGGCACACGCCTTTAATCCCAGCACTCAGGAGGTAGAGGCAGGCAGATCTCTGTGAGTTCAAGGCCAGCCTGGTCTACATAGTGAATTCCAGGACAGATGGAGCTACAGGGAGACCCTGTCTCAAAAAGACCAAAAAAAAAATTTTAAATGATTACTTGAGGGATGATATAAACAACTTGAGACAATGTACAAAGTGATAAATTATTAAGATAGTTAACTGGGTGTAAGATAAGCGTAACAAAAGGGCTGCTGAAATCTTATATTAACCTTACATTAGCATATCATTTATGGAGCTTGGGAGATGGCTCAGTGGGTGAAGTGCTTGATGTACAAGCATGTGAACTTGAATTCAGATCCCCAGCATCCACATTAGAAAAAAAATCAACAACAACAAACAGGTAAGCAAGGTATGGTGGCCTGCAATTCCAGAGAAATGAGTTCAAAATCAGCCTGAGCCTCATCCTGTCTCAATAAAACAAAACAGAAAAAAAAAAAAAAAAGCCAGAGATGACTACATGCTTCTAGAGCACTGGCCACTCTTGCAGATGACCTGGGTTTGGTTCCCAGCACCCATGTGGTGGCTAACAACTATTCACAACTCCAGTTCCAGGGGATCCAGCACCCTCTTATGGCTTCTGCTGGCATTGCATGCAAATGCATGCAAGGCAAAGCAGTAATGCACATAATTAATTAATCAATTAATGAATTAATTAATGGGTGGATATTTGAGGTTCCTACCTCAGCCAGGAGCCTTCAAAGCATGCACAAACAGCCAGCTGCAAAGACACAGAAACCACATTAGAACCTTTAAAAAAAAGGTGGAGAGCAATAGAGGAAGTCACCTCACATGACCTCTGGGCTCCCCATCCCCACACACATGTGTACATATATACATACACCACACATACACAAAAATCACTTATACTATCTTTAGAAAATATAAGACATCCAGAATAATTAATGAAATATATAAGATCTTTATGGAGAGAAAGTATTAAATTTTATTCAAAACTGTGAATGATGTTCAAAGAGAGCTACCATATTCATCACATTCATGACCAGGAAGACGCACATCAAAAAATGTCACACATTCCCAAATTAACCTACAAATATAATGCAATACTAAATTAAAAACCTAAGAAGCTTTTGAAAGTAGAAATTAACAAGGCTCTAAAGTGTGTATAGAAAGGCAAAGAATGAAAACTAAGATAGTTCAAGGGGGAAAAAAAGCTGGGAGCAGGGCATTTTTTTTTATCTTGTCTAAATTTATTATAAAGCTGTAGGAATTAAATCACAGTACAGACAAGTAGACCAGACCAGAAATTCAGAAAGGATCCACTCCTATATGGTAATCTATCTGATATATGATAAAGA